AATCTGTTGATCATTCTTGGTTCTCTTGCTAGGGTTCCCTCCCCTCGCTCCGCAGCTATGAAACTATGGAATCAGGGAGGGTCAGAGGAGTAACTGCCGGGTGTCCTTGTAAACAAGTCTGCTCATTCTACCTTTTTTTTATATGGTGTTTCTGTTCTAGTATGGGACAGTTGTCTTCCATTGCTGTCCTTTTTTGATGAGGGTGTACTTTTTTGCACCCTTTTTAAAAAAAATCATTTTAGTCAGTCAGTCTCTCTAACTTAGGGTGGTTCCATTGGGGTTGTCTCATGCATCTTAGGTTCTTGATGATTCCTTTGGGGGTATTATGCTAGAGAACTATCTATCTTAATTATCATATATGCGCTTGGATTGCTTTCCTAGACATCCCTTCTCTTTTTAGACATCCCTTTCCTAGACATCTTCCATGATGTCTAGGGCCAAAAATGTAAGGCTTGGGCCTCTTGTCACCCTTAGACCGTCTGGTCTTGCCCTGTGCACCTCTTGTCCAATTTTCCCTAGGGATGAGGTTTGAGGCTGGGAAACCTTCCTGTTTTCCCTTTGTCGACCAATATCATTGTTGGTATGTTTTTTCTTCTTTTATTTGCGCACTCTGTGTCCTTCGAGGTAATCATTCCCAGTGGTGGCATTTCTTCTCTAGCTGTTGCAGACCGCTCCTGTTGTCTAAGATCTGTCAATGGCTATTTCCCACCCCAAGTTTGGTTTTGGAATTCCAAATAATTCAGAATCTCTCAATTCTGGTGTCTCTCCATAGACCATAAAGAAAATAAGATTTTTCTATTTGCCATAAAATCTTTTTCTTGAAGTGCACTGAGGGCACAGGTCCCAGCCCTCTGGATTTATTGGTCTTTCGTACTGCTTACTCACAAAACTGAGGCATGCCGGTTAGAGGGGGGGCTTACACCGGGACTGGGCTTCAAAGGTTTTTTTCTGTTTGCCATTGTCCAAACCTCCTGTAGGTGGCAGCATGTAACCTGACTGCTTTAGAATACCTGAATTCCTGTGTCCCTCTAGACTTTAAGAACAGGATTTTTCAGTTAAGTACTATCAAAACTGTAAAATGTAAAAGTCATATTGATAGAAACCATTCACATGCCACTTGAAATTTCTCAGTCAGTTAGAAAATTGAAATAACCCATCATGAGAGAAACACGAAGGCTAACATTCCTGAGCTGTGTTTTGAAATGCTATTTACCTGGATTCAATGTTAACTTTTGCTTCAATAGTTTGATTCATTAACCTGCAGTAAGTATGCTGTTAGAGACGTCTGGCTTTTCTCCCACTTTCCCGAGCTGCATACTTGCTCTAGGTTAGTGTCTAAAGAAATTAAGTGTCAGCATCCACTCGGATAGCTTAGAGAAGAAGTTCAGTGACGGTCACTATATTTTTTACCTCAAAGCATTACTTTAAATTTCCTCACAGTTTTTGTGGGCTGCCTTGGAGCTTACAGTAGCGATTGTCAAAGGGCACTCTGGAATCCAGCAATGGGTGAATGTCCATCAGCTAGAACACTAACATTGGATTTGGTTAGCGGCCGGTGGGCGAAGCAGATTAGTGCTGTGGCTGCTCTAGATGGATGCAGCATTCATTTGCTATCCTTTAGAGATGCCAAAGTAGAAAAAACTTCCCATCAATTTACTAACAGGATACTGTTCTATTGAACAGAACATCTGCCCATTAGATTAATTCCCTGGTACTTTGTCTGTGTTGAATAAATGATATTTGGTAAGGTGGAGGCAGGACATGAATAGGTGGTTGAGGAACAATGTGGAATGAATAGTAAAGCTTGGTGGACAGTGAGGAAATACTTTTTTTAAATGGAGCAGAAAATGAAATATAACTGCTGAGAAACAGTGGAAAGTCATAGAAAAAGCAGCAGGGTTGCAAAGTAAAGTATCTGATCAGGAAATTTGACAAAGTAAAAAAGTGGCTAGTGGAGCAGAAAGTATATGATGCTCAACAAAAGTAAAAGCAGCTGGACAGAGAGAAAAAAATGAAATGGTTGTATGGACGCATAACTCCGTGTAAACTGAATCTATAATAAAGGCCCTTTTGTACTTTTAGCAAAACGGAACCTTTTCTAAGAGTGAAAAAAGAATCTTGGTGTTTATTGTATGTTTGTGCCAGCAGCAGTAATACAGATGACAAAGCTAAAAAAAAATGTAGTTATACAAAATACCACAAACATAATATAACAAATTATGCATAACTGTTTCTGATCAATGCAATAACATTTTTAGTAGATGTGACAAAAAAGTTGCATGACTGTCATGCTGATTTGTTTAGAGCCCAGTCACACCACTGCGATGCCTTTTCCGCACTGTACCATGTACGATTAACACGCACTACCGTGCAATAATCCGGCAGGTGTTCTGCATTGCCATTGATTTGAATGGCACCCCAACTCACTTCTTAGCCACATGCATGCACTACTTTTTTTTTTCCACCAAACCGTGCGTTGCACCATGGTGGGGCCTATTGCAGCCTGGAGGTGCATCGGGATGCCATTCAAATGAATGGTAAGGCACTTGCTGGACTGTAACATAGGTAGGTGTGTTGTGTGGCAGCGTGGGTTAATCGCGTGGTGCCCTGCAAAGAGCACACCACAGCAGAGTGAATAGGCTCTTAAGAATACAGATTTCTGACCTTGATGTGAACTTTTCTGTCTCAATGATTCAGAAAGTACTGAAATTGGCGAGTCAGCATAACCTGCCAACTAGCTTTTTCAGAAGGGGTTCTTTAATGGCAATCTCCTTTTTTTCCTAGCTTCTCTAATGCCTGTTTTTTTTGCATGGTTTTTGTTTTTTTAAAACCAATATATGCATGTTAATAGGCTAAAAAAAATACCTGCCTCGTAAATTGTTTTTACAACACCACAAGTCAACACATGTCAATTATACATATGTATTTTGGGGTGTTTTTTTTTGGACAGGCTATGCATGTTGGGTGTGACTTTACCAATAAGTGGAAATGTATACATGTTTGTACTATGTGTTATGGTATCGTGCATGAGCGTAAATGCAGAACCTCGTGAAGCCTGGCATTATCTGAGGTTGCTTTCCTGCTAGAAGTAGTTTTCTTGCTCGGAGGTGATAGAAATGTATCCCCCTCTGACAAAACACAGGAAATTATATTGGCGATAAAGAAAATCATTATTTTGAAGAGTGTCTTTGTGCCTAGAGGCTATGCTCTAAGGAGGGTACATATAAGTTTGCCTTCTTGAAATGTATAATGAATGCATAGATTTTGGCATATAAGAAGTCTACCTATACTGCTGGGAATTTTGTATGTAGCTTAGGCATTCTTGAGGAAAATAGTGAATTAATTTGCCTAGAGATATTTTGTATGAGATGAATGCCTCTCTCACATTCATTGAATATCGAATTGACCTGTAATGGGGGAGGGATACATTACACATAATTGTATTACATGTCCCCTGGAATTCATTAAACATGTTGTACTCATATTTCATAACTAGTGACGGGTTTATGTACCTGTCGAACAAAGGTACATGAATCTGTTGCCATGGATGCATGGTGGCACTGAAGCCGGTGTGTGCATTTTGGACACTCGGTCACCAGTGCAGCTCAGTAATGCTGAGCCTGATAAAATCACAGGCTAAGGCCCCAGTTCACACCTGAGCGTTTTAACGCGCGTTCCTACGCTCGGTAAAACGCGCAACAGGTGAAAACCCATGTTTGCCTATGGGCATGGTTCTCACCTGCACGTTTTACCGCCCGTTCGATCGCTGGATAAAATGCCATACGCCCAAAGAAGTACATGAGCTTATTTGGGGCGTATTGACGCCCTTATCACGCTGTTATCTACCGGATACCCCCTCGGAAACTCGCGTTTGACGCACGTTTCTTTTACCGCAAATCGCGGTAAAACCGCGCTGTAAGAAACGCGCGGCAAACGCGAGTTTCCAATACGTTAAGTTGTGAACCCAGCCTCAGCGTTACAGAGCTCCCCATGTCACTGTATCTTTCATACAGACAGGCGCAGCAGGCAGGGAGTTGATGAGCAGAGCCTGATGAGGAGCACTGCCAATCACAAGGCAGACAGAATTGATTGGGAATTCTGTGAGACTATTTTCCCCAATAGAGAAATGGCTGTATGTAAACAAGGGGCGGAGATGCTGGCTGACATCATTGCCCAAATATTGCCATTGCCATAATGGATAATGATTTTGGCTAACATCCCCGCCCTTTTGTTTACATTTAGCTGTCAGCCCAGGTATTTCTTTCTGCACAGCAGATCAGAGTTGATCTTAATGCCAGTTTCCTAATCGGTAAATGTTGACTCTGTCATAGCCGTAGTGACGGGTTCTTAAAGTGCTGGTAATAAGAACTACCTGAATTTGTGTCTAACTACAACTGAAACTGTCTCAAAGTCTTCACAAATCAGATGCAGGTTGTTTTGAAGGAACCCTGACACAAAAAAAGGTGTAATAAATGCTTTATTAAGTTTTTTGTTTCTTTGTAATACCCATGTTTTAAATGTCTGTTATAACCATGTCTGTTAATCTCAAGTAGGTGTTTAAAAGTGGGGGGGGGTTGCTTTATGTGTTTCCTCTGCCTACCTGAAATCCTTCTTTCTCCCACTGGGCGAGTCACTGCCTTATAGCAATGAAAGCAAGGATGAGGATAACTTGGCCCCCCAAAAAACTTCTCGGCAATGGCATCTTTCTGAATTTCTATCATGACACCTTCCCTTGAGCACAAATGGGGATCACTCATTCCACAATGACACCTGTAACTTCTGTTAGGTCCTTATTTTGCCACTGCCACACATTGTCATTTAGAGAGGCACCAGTGGACTTACTGAGGTAGCAAATAACCTGCATTCAGTGTGTAAGCACCACTAGAGAACTACATTATGCTGTCTCTTTGCACATGTGCACCAATTGTTTGCAAAAATACAAATTTGCAGCCACTGGAAAACATACATTCTTACACTACCTATGTTTTTTTTTTACTTAGGGTCCTGTGCTGATTGGAAGCTCTCAAGGTGGAGTTAACATTGAAGATGTTGCGGCTGAAAGCCCAGATGCTATTGTGAAAGAGCCCATTGACATTGTAGAAGGCATCCAAAAAGAACAGGCTGTTAGGGTAAATAGCTCCGTGTTTAGAAAGCTTTAGACTGGCTTCTCACCTATTCATCTTTATGGCTTTTTTTAATTTTTATTATTATTGCTTTGGGCTGGTGTGGTGTGATGCATTGACTTGAACGGTCATTCCTATGAGGCCCTTTTAATGCATATTAATTACTACAAAATAGCCATGAACTTTTTTGCCAACATATGTCAACACAATGCATATATATGAACGAGCACCTTTTAAATCAATGGCAAACCTCTGGCCATGGGTTTAAACTAAGGCATTGTCTTTCAGGTGGCTCTTGAGCTACACACAGTCTCCAGTTTTTTTATTCATTGGACTTGTTAGTGACTGTTTTTCTGTTGCCCACCCCTCAGTTGAACTGCTTTTTGACTTTCTGAAAGCAGATGACTTCCAGTGTCCCTCAATGGACGCTAATGAAAATATAGGTTTTTTGTGCTCAAGATAAAATCCCTTTTTTGGAGTCCAATGAGGGGCACAGGTCCCACTCCTTTTATAATCATGCTCTTGGTAATGCTTTCTACAAACTGAGACATGTTTGGGAGTAGTAGGGGTTATCCTGGGCTGACCTAAGGGCTTGTTCACACCATTTTCTGGAGCAGATCTGCAGACCTGGTGCAATGCGTGCAGCGTGTTATTGACACGTATTTGATGCGTTTTTACCGTGTTCCGGATGCGTTCCATGTTTTTTTTTTATGGGGTGGGGCCGTCAGTATGCAGATTCTTGCTCTGAGGTCACTTCCCGCCTCTCTTTACAAGTACTTACCTTTGTGTATGTGGAGCAAGAAAACACTTTTTTTTTGTTAGCTGCAGTACGGCACGTTTCCAGTGCATTTTCGTTGCGTTTTTGACGTGTTCATACACGTTTTCTGCACGTTCCGGTGCATTCCAGACCAAAAAAAATGTGACGTGCAGTATTTTTTCTATGCAGAACGGAAAGCACTGCGCAGGTGTGAACTGGAGCCCAGAAAACACATTGGGATACATTGTGATGCGTTTTTAGTGCAGGAGCTAACTGTCTTGGTCTGGAGAGAATCCGGACATCGTGTGAACAAGCCCTTAATCTATTTGTTTGCCAGTCTCCAACCTTCCTGTAGGTTGCAGTAAAACCTGAAGGTGAATGACCGCCTGTGTCCCTAGGGCCTGCTGATGTTGTCATGTTTAATGCAGGTTCCATAGACCCGCATTAGATGTAAGGACACCGAGGGATAGCCAGAGTGGAGAGGTATAAGGGGAGAGTGCTGACCTTTGTTTACCCCGAGACACCATTGAAGAACTTTAGGGCAATAATAGAATACCCTCCAGCTTTTGAATTTTAATATTTCTTAAAAAATAAAAACCAGATCTTCCATGTGTTAACGCTTGTAATTTCTTCTCTGCTAAAAGCAACTGCTGTCTGAGTACGCTGGAGAGAAAATGCCCTAAAGAAAGTGATATAAAAGAATCAGTTATGCTTATAACCGGGAACCTTGTGTTTTCTCTCCTTGATTGCTTAAATACATTGTTTACTTTATATTGTAAACTATATAGTAATGCTTCCAAGTCATGTAAATCATCACACTACTAGATGAGAATGAAGATAATGAGTATATTTTCCATGGGAATTTAGCTGACTAATCAGACCATGATGTTTTATTTTCTTTTGTTTCTTTTTGTGTGTGCAGCTTGCACAGAAAATGGGTTTCCCAGAGAACATTGTCGATGAGGCAGCTCAGTGCATGATCAACATCTATAATCTGTTCATGAAGTATGATGCTACAATGGTGGAAATCAACCCCATGGTAGAAGATGCTTCAGGAGTAGGTAAGACGTGCAGGCCTTTAGGGGCACTTGCTGCAGACTTTGCATTGTGTGTTTTGCGCAAAGGTTTAAAAAGGTGTGCCAGGGTGAAAAAATGAAGTACATCTCTGCAATATATGCACATTTCACCATGTTTTGTCTCCTTAACCTCCCTGGCGGTATTCCCGAGTGTGGCTCGGGGTTAATTTTCAGTACCAAGAGCAGTAACCCCGAGCCACACTTGGGATTGCACAAAAGTGTCACTTACCTTGTCCCTACGAGCCCGCGGTGTACTCTGCTGTGTACGCCAGGCCGATGCCGGCATCTGACTTTTACTTTTGTTTTCGGCGTCACAGCGGGGGGCAGAGCCGGCGGGAAATTCAAAAGTGAAAAGATGCAATGTACACAGACTACACAGAATACAATGTAATCTGCTATGATTACATTTCTGTATCAAACTATTTCACTTCAGTTTTGTCCCTAGAGCTTTGTCCAGTGCCCTGCCTGCACTTTTACTGTTCTTGGCATCCAAAAAAACGTCCCTTTTAGGTCAAAGTGGTTTTAGACCAGGTAGAAAACAGCGATAGTAAATCAGAATCACTTGCAGAATTGAGCGATAGCGATTCGTTGGGAAATTCGTTATCAGACACTGAACGTGACGACAGCGACGATTCTGCGACAGAGCTCAGTGATGTGTGAACTTGGTACTCTATTGACTGTGGTAGGGATCAGGCAGCGCCCCCAGAATTCCCATTTACTGGACTTTTTTTATTTTTATTTTTTTTATTTTATAATTTTTAAAATAAATTATTATATTATAATATATGATTTCGTGTTTCAAACTTTATCATACCCGGGATGTCTACTGGACTCTTGTTTGGACAGATTTAGGCAAGTTATTCCTAAAATTTACTAAGAATTACAGGCCTACAATATAAAACAGATTGCCACGAAAAACAACGTACTGATTTGGCATGCTAAAATCCTGCATAATCATACCGCCAGGGAGGTTAAAAAAGCTGCAAGTACAGAAAATGACCTGTTGGGCTGCCAGAAATCAAGTGTGCTCTAAATTTCCTGTTTGAGCTGTCAACAAATTGCCTCTGCTGCACTGAAATCCCAAGCAGTGTGGTCAACCCTACCCAATTCTCGTCTATTGGAATACATACTGACTGACAACACTGCTTGGTTTTTCAGAGGCAGATTTGTCCGCTCAAAACAGGTTGTTGTTAGCTCTCTGGATTTCTGGCTGGGTCAATCTGTAATATTCTGTGCTTGCAGCATTGTTGAAACAAAGCTAGGAAATCTCCCGATGGCATTTGCCACTAAAACCCACTACAAGTAGTATCGTACCGCTCAAGTATATATGGGCACATACTGTATGAAATGAGCACTCTATATACAAATTTTGCTTGGCTATTTGGCAATAAGTGACATTTTTTTCCATGAAACAAAGTATTACAATGACTCATTTTATCATCTGCAATACATTTTTTTAATCATTTATACATCAGCAGTTTTTCGGTGAAACTGGAAATTACATAGTAAATGTCTGCTGGTGAACAGATGTCATGCTTTTTAAATGAAAGGTCTTTTAAATGTCTCCTAGATAAATTATACACACAACAGATTATAGGGGATTCTCATCATATCGAATACATAAAGAGCAAATGTCACATTTGATTCTGTTGTGCTGACGCAAAACATTTGTAAAACCTAATTGTCATAATTACTGAGTACAAGCCATTGGTCCTATATCATATGTTCATTCTGTGTACCATTTTCTTAAATGTAGGTGGTATTGCTGGTATTATGACCTATTTGATAGCTTTCGCTAATCTGCACTTAGGTACGGTAATTAAAGCTGCACTCCAGCCTTTCCTTCAGTCTTGCACAGTTGCACAGGCTCCTCTCCTGTATTGAATGTACTTATTCTGATTTTCACTGCACATTGTGAGCTTATAGTGTTATAGCAAGTCGGAGCCTACCTCATTTCTTGACTGGAAGGTGTCCTACATCATCTAGGCCTATCCTCCCCAGTCGTAGTGTCCCTGGCCCACTTTTTTCATTCATTAGATTTCAGCTCTTTAAATCATAGAGGCTCAGCATCATATGTAGGTATCACCAAGGTGATTGTGTGCAAATGCAACCTGCCTGGGAATGCCCTCTCCTCCAGGCTGGTGGATAAGGATCACCAGCACTCAGCAATTTCATTTAAATAAGTCCATTCTATTTGGACCCAGTCACAGTGAAAGCTGTTTTCACTGTGACTGTGTCCAAATAAAATGGACTTATTTAAATGATATTGCTGAGTGCTGGTGATCCTTATCCACCTTCCTATGTCTGCACGGCGCCATCCGTGGTCATCATTGCGAGGGACTCTTTTGTTCACTTACTCTCCTCCAGGCTGACATCCACCCGTTAAGGCATTTTCATATTTGCATAACTCCTCCCAAGAGCCGACCGCCTGCTTGCTTCTGGGCTATGGGCTTTTAGGAGGTGTACTGAGGCAGGGTGCCGTGATGTTTTCAGGAATCTATATACAGTGCTCTGACTGCTTTGCAAAAAGAAGCACAGAGACCCAGTGATTTATGTAACTGGATCTAAATTATAGTTTGTAATCAAAACTGAGGTTTTAGCTAAAATAAATGAATCTGCCTGTTGCAAAATAAAAGAAAACTAACCCTCAAATTAGACTTGGCTATTGGTCAAAATGCCTGCTTCCGGGTTTGTGAGCATTCACTGGCATTTGGCACCAGGCACAATGCTTCTGTCCTTGATTTAACATGATAAAGGGAGAGATACAGACTGCTGTTTTGTGCCTGAATTACTTCATTAGACAGAAGCTTAAGAATGTTGGTCAAGGACTGCTTGGAAATAAAATGTCTCTTGCTCTGATATTCCTGTGGCATTGATTCACCAGCAGGCTCTTTTGTCTGTTGCATAGCCCAGTGCAGTTTTCCCCACTGCAGTGAGTGCTTCTACCTCCCTTTTACAAGGTTATTACAGAAGTGTCGCTCTCCAATTATTTAATTATTCTACTTCATGGACCATTAGGAGGAGTGTGATACCATCATTTGGCTTTAAGGCTCATGCACATGGACTTCTGGGGCTGTACAGTGTAAAATCCAGGCGTATTTACCTGCCCGGCAGCCACAGGTGAGCCCATAGAATTAAAAGGCATATGCAGCTGCACGTAGGTATAGGCTGGCACTTGCATAAACATGGCCATGCTTTCAGGCTTTACAACCCCGGACACAGACAGTCTGCATCCAGGGGCGCACCTCTCTATGCTTGTTTACTTAACCCCTTCATGACTGAGGCCCTTTTTTCAATTTTTGCACCCATGTTATATTCCACATTTTAGGCCTGAAAATGACGTAAAACCCCCCAACATTATAAATTACACATTGGAACTGCCACACGTCGACTCTGTATATTGGGAAGTGAGCGAACACATACCGTCTCTCACTCACATACCGATCAACTTCCAGCAGGGAGCGGTGACTGTCAGTCACTGCTCCCTGCAGGGATTGCCCCCCTCCCCTCTCCAATCCTCCAGTGTTGACTAGAGAAACTGATGTGGGAGGGGGCGGGCACAGCCTCTAGATAGACAGAGCCTGCTGTCGATCAGCCAGCTGGGTGGATCACGACAGTATTGACTGGATCTGTCCCGGCTGCAGCGCTCTCAGTATATAGCGGGCAATAGCTCGCTATATACTGAGTTTTGGTAACGGGAGGACGTTGGTATACATGTCTTCCTGTGACCCTAAAGAGAACTATGGGATAAAAAGGTTACCCCATAGTTCTTTTTTAAGGGCACGCATATAGCCGTGTACAACCGCATATAACCATTGATTTCTGTGGGTGGCTGTACACCGCATTTGTTGCTCCCAGGTCGATAAATACGCCTGAATTTTATGTTTTATAGCCCCCGGGCACCCATGTGCATTAGTAGTGAATATTTTTCTGCTCATAGGTTTGCACACATACATTTTTCATTTTTGTTTTGGAAAACACTGGCCACTGCTGTTCATGCAGACAACTTCTTCTTACACTGTCCCTTTGCCCAGTTTATTTTGCCCCAAACTGGTGTGCTAAATCTATACTTTTTTGCACCCATTGTCTGGGAATCAGTGTCATGCATGACATGGTGACTTGTGAAAGTAAAGGCAAGTCCTTATGAATATTGGAATATGCCTTACTATGAGCATTCTATGGCTAAAGAGGAAATATTTTACTATTTGATATGACTATACCATTTGTGTATTCTTATTTGTAGCTATATCTAATAAAGGATTATATATTGACGACCTGTTGAGGAAATTGTGTACAGTATAAAAAAAAGGGCATTTTGTGTCATGTCATGAAACCCGGTACACACATTGATTTGTTAAAATGTCTTCATTCCCTGATGTAGGTTATTCCCCCGTTATCCACATTTGTGTGTGTTTTTGTCTAGTTATACCTGAAAATGGTCAGGAGGCGGAGGGGAGGGGGGAATTATTTTTCAGTACTTCATAGGAAAATGCACTTTGAAATGTTTTTATTAATTTTTTTGAACCATTTTCTGCCTACAGCAGATTGCCAATACTTAATGGTTGTTTATCATTTCTGATACGCCACTGCTTCTAGCTCACCGTTCAGATGTTTGAGTGGCTTGCCTGCACACACTCCTTGAATGCGTCTGACTCATCGTCCATAGCGGGGAACAGTAGATGGCTGAAACGAAGATAATTGGAAAATGTCATGCTACAAAACAAACCTTTTGTAGAGTATCCGCTTGTTTTTAAACGTTGCTGTTAAAAGACTTCTATATTCAGCATATTACTTTGATTTATTTCACAATGAAAAAGCAATTTTACACACAAAGATATCTTTAACAGTCACACTGTTCTATTTCTTATTTCATACCATTCGTGTATTCATATTTCCTGTGGGGTTAAAGCTGAAGACTAGGCAGGTATAAAATACACAGCTTAATGCAGCTAGGTATTAATACATCATCAAATGTATTTTTAAATACAGCGAACATGAGTAGCTTGCAATCCTTAAAAGAGAACTATAGGGTAATTGTTTTTCCCCATAGTTCTCTTTAGGGTCACGGGAGGATATATACTAGCGTCCTCCCTGTGTAAGAGCTAACTGGGTGATCTACGTGCAAATTTCCTGGCAAGTAGGGATGGGGCTGAGCTTAGCGCAAACCCAGTTCATCTGAGTTCGCCGAGCCCACTCTAAACTGTGACTGCCACCCCCTTCTCCCGACCCAGCCAGTTGCGGAAAGGTGCATACCCTGCCCAACAGCTTTGTGTCAAAAGGGGGCAGGGAATGAGCCCATCAAAAACTGTTTTGAAGTGGTGTCATCCACCTGACAATATGTGGCAGTGCTGTGGAAATCTCGGAACTGGGTGGACAGAAAACCAAATCTTATAGGAAAATCTGCTCTTTTTTTTGTATTTCATCTGTGTATTTAGCTGTTTGCCTGTTTTAAAGAGAACGATCAGGGTTCATATTGTCTAATCCTTCCCCTCAGCAGAGATCATTTTATCAAAAACCTAGGCTTTGGGTCAGATGACAAGCACTGTTGGGATCCTGGAACAGAATGTTCTCCAGGAAAAGTAATTCAGCTATTGTGTTACTACTATGTATTTATCCTGTACAGCCATGATGTCTGTAAGCCTGTCCTTGTGTTGTACAGGCTACTGGCTGTACATAAACATGTGTGACTGTTGGGCACAGAAATACACTCCTTGACAGTATACAGCTCTCCGGCCATGTGAATGAGCCCTAAGTTGTAGCCCCTAACCCCCCCCAATGTTTTCAGCTTCCACATCTTTGAAAAAGAACATCTTACCGATTTGTTTTTAACTACTGTGCTTTGCCCTTTTTTTTTTCTTTGCTTTATTTATCCAGCCCGATGGTTTGCATGTCTTCTTCCATCCCGTTTCTATTGCAGAGATTACATTTCTTATTACTATTTGGACTTTTTCCTTCACATTTCAGCCTTTGCTTCTGTATTTGACTTTTGCAGATTGTCTGGTGTACTTATGTTCACAAATGTGGCTTACCTGTTGTGACGTTCTCACATGCCACCTGCTGACAGAGGTCTTGCTGGGGGCGCTTGGTGCTCTTGAAGTCATGTCACTTTCCTTTGCATTGCATGAAGCTAGATAAAGACAACATTTATCTCTGAAAAAGTGCTTACCTCAGACTTTGGTAAACCCTGCACTGCACAAAAAGCTGTTTTTGGTGCTTTTCCCATTGCACGCTCTCCTCTTTATAATTGTTTATATTTAATTGTACCTGGCGATGTGACCCATCGTCAGGTACAACCATTGCTGTGTAGGGTAAGCCTATGCAAATAGGGATTTTCACACAGGTGTCATTTGAATAGGAACTGCCGTGCAATTTGCCAGCTGTTTGATCGCTTTAACTATCCCTTATATTCATGATGCATATATAAGCGGCTTTGCATGCTATTCTGATATGTACAAATAAAGTATGCATAAAGCAGGGGTAGACACACACCTGCTCTGCTCTGGCAGTGTATAGCACACTGCCAGAGCAGTCACTGTTGACATTTGTTTTCTAACTTTATATTGAGGGTACAATGCGTACACTCTATTCTGGTCCCTGATGACCGGCAGTGAAATCTACTGTGCTGTGAAAAAATGCAGCATGTTTGCTTTTTTCCTTAGCCATGTTATGGTGTCAACAGGGCACATAAAAAACAGTTGTGTTTTTTTTTTTGGAGTCCTGTGTTGATCTGGTGCACACATACACCTCTGTATGTGTGAACGGGCCTTTAAAGAATTACAGTTCTTATGACAAAAAAATAATCCACATGTGTGTATTTCAACAGATATATTTATCTGTGTGGCTGGAGTTCAATTTTGAGGATTCTTTACTTTTTTCTTTTTTGTTTCTTTTTAGTGATGTGTATGGATGCCAAAATAAATTTTGACTCCAATGCAGCATATCGTCAAAAGACCATTTTTGATCTCCGAGACTGGTCACAGGAAGATGAGCGAGACCAGCAAGCAGCAACAGCTGACCTCAACTACATAGGTCTGGATGGAAACATTGGCTGTCTAGGTAGGTTTTGAATTCTTTTATTATTCTGCATAATGTTTTTATTTTATATACATGCCTGTAGAAGCGGTCGTTTCTCATATAATTTAGTAGACCACTATCATTCTGCATATTGTTTTTATTTTATATACATGCCTGTAGATGCGGTCTTTTCTCATATAATTAGTAGACCACTATAATGCACAGCGTATCTTGTTTTTGTTTTCAATCATCTAAATGCTGTAGAGAAGGGCACACACAACTTCAGAGTTTGAAGGCCAGGTAGGTACAGGTCGGAATATTGTAAAAAAGAGAATTCTTCTGCTTAGTGTTCTGTTCTTCACTTTCATTGTCGCCTTGTAGTTTGAGCCATCTTAAAACCATGTATGATCCTGGCTTTCCAGGACTAGAGTTGTGCAGCCTGCTCAAAAGCAACTTGACTGAATAAACGAGTGTGAAGTATGTTTTAAATGTGAACCTGTCCTATTAAGGTGTATAAATTATTACTGGTATTATTGTTCCTGACGATACCTGCAATTTGCTTATAATCTTCTTTCTGGGAAGGACCATTTCAAGATTATATAAAAACCTTTCCTAGGAGGACAAAAATGGACTAACCTTAAGTCGAGCTCTAAAACTTGGTGCCTTCGCTTTACCCGTAGTGTAATTAATACAATGTAGTGGACGTATCTAGTTCACTGTAAGGTTGAACCTAATGGTTGGACTTCTGTTTTTTTTCCTCACCAACTTTTTATGATTGAATGTGCTGCATTACATCTAGTAAAGTTGTTTTAAACAGACTTTTTTCAATGTCATTTACCATAGACACATAGCATATTCTGCATTAGTAGAATCTAGAGCAGTAGCATTCAGAGCAGTAGATGTCACAGGTTTACTGGAGCAGACATGTCATATGTTAAGGCTTATGTTATAATTTTTTGTGCGTTAGATTCTCTAGAGTGCAGTTATGTTTCACTGCAGTCTGTAATGAAAGTTATGCTTTCAGTACCATGTAAAAATGGTAAACTGAAAGGCATTCTTGGTGCTTATCAAGAAACATGCTCATATATCTTCTATGATTGAGTCCTCCTAGGTGATGGCCCTAATGAAACAAGTCGGCTCATTTATGGAAATTTCCAGCTTGAGAAGTATGAATTGCATAAATCATAGCTTCTCCCCGGAATAGTTCACTTAGCTGAAAATGAAAGAAAGTGTATTTTGAAATAATGGATCTGTCACAGCTGACCTCTTCTTCTTTACTGAAATTGAGTAACCTGCAAATTAACCTCTTGCCGTCCGCCCGTAGTAAAAAAACGGACGGACGGCACTGCAGAGGATATTGGGTTTCCCTTGTTTAAATACCTGTGTATTCTCAGGATTTTACTGCAATAGAGCTGCAGAGACTTCTGAACAAGTTAGCACAAACTATATTCAAAATACAAATGAACAGATCAGTGGGGAAACACATCTATACCATGTATGTATAGGGTAGTGTCTATTTTTTGTTTCAGTAGGTTGTGTTGCAGCATTGCCAGTAATTGGATGTAAACATTGCTTCATTGCGTTTTCGAGAAGCAAAACTTTCTATAGCTTTCTGATTCTACAGCTTCCTTCAGTCTTGGTGATTTCTGTTCCAAAGTTATTATTTTTATTATTTTTTTTTATTGAGTGGATTCACTTTCACCATTCCGGAGACCTACATTTTCTGGCGTGATTCTGTGCACAAGATCAGTCCTATTTAGAAAATAAAGGCATATTTTACCAACATTAATGGGAGTTATTAAAGTTGGCTAATCCTGACTGATCATGATGCCTAAAGTTGCCTGGAGAGAGTGATTTCAAAAGATTTCATATATCTTGATTAGTAATTGTGATTTGGAGGGAGAGCACAACCAGGCACCCATGGAGCCAGCCTGATCATTGAGACCAGTAGATATTTTCTTTGTAATTGTTCAGTGGGGGTATACAGGTGAAACTCGAATAATTAGAATATTGTGCAAAAGTAATTGCAGTAAGTGCTGCAAAAGGGGCCCAAACCAAGTACTGAGTACATATGCATGCTTGTACTTTTCAGAGGTCCGATATTGTTCTATGTACAATCCTTGTTTTATTGATTGCATGTAATAATCTACTTTTTTGGGGTTGTGGATTTGGGGTTCTTGGGGTTTTCATGAGCTGTAAGCCATAATCATCACAATTATGACAAATCACGGCTTGAATTATCTTGCTTTGCATGTAATGAGTCTCTCTCATATATTAGTTTCACCTTTTAAGTTGCATTAGTGAAATAAATGAACTTTGCACGATATTCTAATTATTCGAGTTTCACCTGTAAGTAGTTGCTTCATAGTACTCCTAGGTAGAAGGATCATTGCCCATCATGCTGGAGTCACATATAGGGCAGTGTTGCTGGATGGAATTCTTGTTGTTCTGAAACATCGCTTCTTGTTGTATGTGATCAATAAAAAGCTCCAGATGAGCAATTTTGTGTGCTCTAGACATGCTCTTATATATTGAACGTATGGGGGCAATCATCTGCTAATGTCTCTGAATAATATGGATGAATTGAGAAAATTCTGGCATTTAAAGCACAAATTCCAGGATTTATTTTTTTGTTTTTTATTAAGCCTTGCAGTGGGGCTACCCCTGCTACACCCGCACTCCAAGAGTCAAGTGCTAGTTTGTGTCTTGGTTAAAAAAAACCCCAAAGATATACTCACCCAAAGCTCCAAGCCAACTTCTTAAACCGGTCCCTGGAATGTCTCTCCCCATCCTCCTCCAGTCTAAGATCCAGTAAATCATCACATCTACACAGTGTGCATAGTAGTAAGGACCCTGAGGAACATTCCAATGTGCTGCAGAGGAGGAGACAGGCTGGAAGGAACTCCGTAAAAACTGACTAGCTTGGAGCTTCAAGTGAGTAATTATTTGTTAATTTTGCACCTAGTCAAAAACGAGCAGTTAACCCTTGCAGTGCGGGTGGTAGCTCTACTGCAAGTGCCAATTAAAAAAAAACATTTCTTGGATGTGTAATTACTAGGGATGCACCGATACCGGTTCTTCCGTATCAGGTACGAGTACTGATATATTTTTTTAGATACGCGCCAGTACTGAGTATCGGTGCTGTGTTCCCCGATTATCAGGAAGTCGGGTGGCGGATCATGACTCATCGCCCGGCTTCCTGATTGCCTGTGAAGCTGGTGTTCTAGCAAAAGCACACCGGCTTACTTGCTGAGGTTGCCTGACCTCCTGACCAATCGGAAAGTTGTGCGGTAAGTTCCTGATTGGTCAGGAAGCCAGGCTGCCTAGCAACAAGTGAAGCCGACTTCCAAGCCAATCGGAAGCCGGGCAGTATGCCATGACCCGCCTCCCGTGTTCCTGATTGGCTAGGAAGCCTGTTCCATGCTCCTTCCGCACTGACGTATCGGATGATTCGCCCAAATACTCTGTATCGGCACCGATACTGATAGTAGTGTTCGTATCAGTGCATCCCTAGTAATTACTGTAATGACAGAAGGGACTTTCAAACCAAATTACACTAAAATTGATCTAGTATGTGCTACCAGTCTAAAAATTTCAGGCTTTGCTTTAGTTTCATTAGTTCTATCTATCACCTGGAATATGTGCACATTTTGTGGGTACTATTGAAATTTCTTTATGATATCTGTTTGACAAGTCACATTAATCCACTATCTTGTTTGTTCTGTAACATGATTATTGGAGTATACAAATCTTAAAATTTCCAGCAACCTTATATTTGTGTTAATCTTTTTTCCCTTATCTGTATTAGAACGCTATTAAAATATTATGTTCCCTGTAACATTTTAATTGGTACATTATCATGGTGGAAAAAACTGATTTATGTGGCTGAGTGTGACTGTTAGTGATCTCTTATCTCATTTGTTTAATAAGTGCAGCTGATCCTCAGTCTATGGCAGGTATTTGGAGAGTATCAGACGGTCAGAAGTGATGTCATATTTGGCTTGATTTGATAAAAAAAACATAACTCTCAAGCTTTTCTTCTTTTTGATCCTTTGGCGTTTTTTTCCCAACCATATTTGTCCCTTTTTGAGGCTTCATTCTCACCTACCACATGTGTTTTTATGCAGAGATATGTCTGGATAGATGCTCTGTTTATGCTTCTAGTTTCTTAAAGTGATGCGTGTTTACATGCATATGCTTTTAGATTAGGGATGTTCAGATACCAGTTCAGATACCAGTGCAGATACTTGGCATTTTCACGAAAACTACCAGAGTTGCAGCTGGGACCTGGCTCTGGCACTCCACCACTGTCCTGAAATCATTAGTCGCTATTGTTTTAGAAAAACTGTCACATGGACAGTAAACAAAAATGTAAGTACTCGGCAAGTACCAGTACTCGCAAAACCGGTATCTGTGCATCCCTTTATTTATTAAAAAAACAATCATACATTAAAACAGAGAAGTACAAATCCCAGGAGCCCCGTATGCTCCTTACCAATGACCGCTGCCTCCTAACTTTTGAATTTTTCTCTAGTCTTGGAGCTGGAAAAGTATCTGTACTTGTACCGAGTACGGTACTTGGTATCTGAGCATCCCTAGTTTAGATGCATCAGTCCTTTGTCCATTTAAATAGTCCATTGAAGTAGCCAAAGTTTATTTTAATATGTATTTTTTAAAAAAAAAAGTGTTTTCACATTTATAATCATTTGTCAGCTTAATAGTAAATAAAAAAAATCAGAGTAGAATATTTAAAAGATTGTCCAAAATTGAAGCGGTATATGTGTTAAAACAATTTGGTGGGCAAATTAATTAAAGAATTATAGTTAAGTAATGAAAGCTGTTGGGTTTGGCTTGGCATCTAGTCATTGATAACCCCCTCCCCGTAACATAAGGGATAAACTGGTGATCTGAGAACCCCTGTCTTGGGTAAGGTAGAACTGTTCCCAAACACACCCTCCTTAGGCTCCTTGCTGTCTTTCACTTATGAAAGTTTGATACTTAGAAGCTCCTCACAGCACCAATCGGATCAAAATCAGTCTTAAAATATGGATGCAATGGAAATATGGAAAGCAGACATAGCAGGTTACGCCTCACAGACTTTAGAAAGAAATTACTTATGACAATGTGAGCTGTTTTCTGGATCCTTGATGCAATGGATTGCAGGGAATTTAGAATATGATAAACTTTCTGATTTTAGCATAGCTGCAGGGTTTGTTGGACCGCATTAGTAGCTCACCGATTTGGTTTAACTAGTTACTAGTTTTTTGTTTATAAACAAAGTGATTTCTGTTTCTTTCAATTTGTTTGTCAAGACTTTAGGGTATTTTACTTATTTTCCTTTAAAATAAATGTGATGTTACATGGCAGGGGATGCCTTTTTACTGATTGTATTGTACATTGCATACTCTCCACCACTGCACATTGATATCTGTGGTCAGTTATTTTTATACCACCAATCATCACAGTATTGTCACATTTAATAGGTAGAAGTTATTCATACAACTGTCACTACTGCATTTCTCCTGGTTAAGGCTACATTCACACCAGGTGCATTTTAGATTCCTTTGTATGCATTTAAAATGGTTTTCTAAACCTGTCTGTCTATCTACCTCCAATTGATATATTGACAGGTTGCATGTAGATACTGTTATCTGCATTCAGTTTAGCTGCATTTAGTAAAAATAGAAGTCAGGTGCATCTGGGAATCCATTTAAACTTCTAAATGCACCGAAACACATAACGCGTTTTGCTGCTAGGATTTGGTACCAGATGCATCTAAATACATATGCATGTAAACACGTAAGTGCACGCTGTGACGGACCGCCTGGTACCCCGTCTGGGTACCTCCGTCAGAAATCAGCTTCCTCTCCGCTGGAAACCGAATTCCAGTGTCCTCAGCCCAAATCTGCCTAATTATTGGACGAAACCAATATATTAGGACAGAAAGCTAAACCCCTCAAACATCAGACAACACCAATGTTGAATTGGAAATCAAGAACTGGTTTATTGAAGAAAGCACACAGAGTTTTTATACCTCACAGAATCAGATAAGAGTTCAGTGTGTTGAACAGTTCCCACCCCTAGACAGCCAGGTGCCGCATTGGAATTCCTTAAGCACAGACACTCTTTGAATCTAATGAATGTCCTTAATTAGCTAAGAGCTTGATCATCCTAAACAATGGTCACTCCAGACAGCCTGCTGCCTATAATGAACACAGGGTCACTTAAATGTAATGTCAGGGGAAACATGCAATATTTTCACTCCACACATAAACCTAGGAGAATGGTTCCATGTAACCCCAAGAAGTCTGAGGGGGGGGGTCTCCATATTTCTAGGTCCATAGTTAGTAGGAAGGAGGCTAGCCCTCAGGCTCCTCCAGCAGCACCAGTGACGGTTCAGTCCGTCACACACACCATTTAACGCATCTAGAAGCATAAACGCAGCATGAAGTCTGTCATATTTCTCTTTGCATTTAAAGCACAAAACTGCAAGTGGCAAATGTGAATGAAGCCTTAAACGTCAGGCACACGTTTGCATGATTCTAGAAAGCGCAATTATGAATGTACGCAGTCTGATGCATCTGATATTGAGGTATACTGTACGGTGCCCAGTGTCATTTGGTCTCTTTGTTCCACAGTAAATGGTGCTGGCCTGGCTATGGCAACAATGGACATTATAAAGCTTCATGGAGGAACTCCAGCAAACTTCTTGGATGTTGGTGGCGGAGCTACCGTTCAGCAAGTAACAGAAGCTTTTAGGCTCATCACGTCAGACAAAAAGGTATATGAAATATACAGCAGTGTTTTGTGTATTATATTTGTCTGCATGCACGGCCGTGTGCGTACATGTGGCAGGTTTGAATGATTTGGCATTTGCAGTTAACTTTTATTATAATGGTAAAATTTCACGCACCATTGATTGTTTGTCGATCTCCTGTTCTGTTGTCTGGGGTTTAATAATTTCGGATTGTTAGTCAGTCATTGCAGGTTAAATAGAGCTTGAAGCAATTTTCACAAAACGTAGAGATTGCCTTTTGTGTTCAGCCCAGTGGGATATGTAGTATTGAGCTGGACTCATGTTTTTCTGGGCATGCAAGCCATTTCTCTCTCACACCTATGTACGATTGTAGATGTGATAGCTCCCTAGTGCCTCTAGTTACTATGTGCATTTTTCAGACATCTTGTGTGAACTGTGAAAATAATCACAGGATGATGACACCACTAAGGAATATCCATCTGAAATAAGGGAATCCCATTGCATCCCTCACTCAGAATTAAAGGAGACCTTCCAAGTAGCTGTATAAGATATTCAACTGTGAGGCGTTGTTGGCTTAACAGGAAATCGGGTGATTTAGTACGGTAACCTATATCTATGTATCGTGATTTTAATTCACTACAGAATTGGGATCATTGCCCTAATTTTAGCTTACAAGAATGCACCATGGTGTGCATTCATCCTTTGCAACCAATCAAAAATCACTTGTTTCATCAGTCAGAGCAATGGGGAATAATTTCTATTTTATTGCTGTGAGTTACAACAGTTTGGTCTTTGCTCTCTGCTTTTTTAACGTAAGAGCATCGAGCCATTTCCTCCAGTGCTTGTTTCATGTAATATATAACTTTTGGCTTGGTATACTTGTGGACTGGGTTAATTTAAAATCTAGAGCCCTGTGATAAAAATGAACAAATGATGGGTGTTTAGCAGCAAGCTTTGCCAGCTGGAGACCACACACCATCTTCCAGCTCCAGTCATTGCTTCTGTATACCTCTTTAAAGTTGGCAATGTTCACCAAACCACATTTTGTAAAGCTGAACTTTAGGCAAATGAAGAACATTCCAGTCCTGATATTTACACAGCTCTGCCACACCACACAGCCCTGTCTGGCGGCATAAAGATAACCTGATTTTTCTCTGCTGCAGTTTAGTAACACTCACAGGTCTCCTGCCCACCCCCACCCTGTAACTGGATAGTACAAGCAGAAGCAGCACAATAATATGCTCTTCACTCTGTCATCTCCTATCAGCTTCGCCCTTTACTGCAGCATGACCAGTTGGCTCCTTGTGCTGCTTCTTCTCCCTTAATGATTACAAAGCTGCATTCATTTGTGTCTTTTATATCTGCCTAGAGTTCAGCTTTGAATTATCTTTAGTATGTATTCAGGCAGGAGTATATTATTACTAGGGATGCACCGATGCCAATACTAGTATTGGTGCCGATGGCGAGTATTTGAGCGAGTACTCGTGCTCCCCCAAATGCTCCGATGCCTAGCCCGATACTTCCGGTATCAGGAAGCCGGGCAGCGCGTCATTACATGCTGCACAGCTTCCTAATTGGCCGTGAAGCCGGCGCCAGGCTCCCTCGTCACTTCATGACTAGGAAGCATGGAGTCGGCTTCCCAGGCAATCAGGAATCCGGGCACTGCGTCATTACACAGCGCCCAGCTTCCTGATTGTCCAGAAAGCCGGCTCCATGCTTTCTCGTCACCTAGTGACGAGAAGCATGGGGGCGGCTTCCCTGCTACCGGAGGAAAGCCGCGTTCTGCCTGGAGAGGCCCCGGGGGGGGGACAGGCTGGACATACCAAGGTAAGAGGGGACAGACTTTCTTGTTAATCGGGAAGCCGGGTGGCGAGTCTTTACACGCTGCCCGGCTTCCCAGCTAATCGGGAAGCCAGGTGGCAAGTCATTACACGCCGCCTGGCTTACTGAATGGGACTTCCTGTATCGGCGAGTACCAAAAACAAATATCGGTACTCGGACTCTATACCGAAATACCGTTATCGGTGCATCCCTAATTATTATTATTAACCAGTTGACATCCGCGGTGTTAAACCCCCTTCCCATCCAGGCCATTTTTCAGTATTCAGCGCTGCGGTACTTTGACTGACATTTATTCCGTCATGCAACGCTGTACTGAAACAGTTGGCCTTTTTTTAAAAGCATGAAGTAGGGATTTTTGATGCAAAAGCATTACAAACAATATAATGTTTGTCAAGAGGCCAATTAAAATCCGGTTTTCATTGGTCTTTTGATACACCAAGTATATTCTTTTAGTCTAAAGCAGGGGTGGGCAACTCTGGCCCTCCACCTGTGTTTTAACTGCAAATCCCAACATGCCTGTAAATGGCAGTCTTGTGAAACCTCATGTGACTTGTAGTTCCACAACAGCTGAAGGGCCAGAGTTATCCACTATAGCCTATATGATTTACTACATATCCATAATGAATTGCTATCAACCATTTGATATGTATTTTTACATTGTTGTAATAAAATTGTGTAATTTTTAATGACATTATTGTGTGGATTTTCTAAATGTTACATACAAAAATCCCCCTCCCTTTTTAAAAATAATGTATATATTTATGGGATGGGAACATCTGAGATGTTTTACATTGTTGATGGATTTTAGGTGTATCAGGCTGAGTAGGCTAATTGTTTTAAAACTGATATTAATATTTTAAATGCAATTTTTCTTGCTTTTGCAGGTTTATCTTTGTATTTGAATATGCTACTGCAGATAACTTAACTTTAAACATATTTCCATGTAGGTACTGGCTATCCTGGTGAACATTTTTGGTGGTATTATGAGATGTGATGTAATCGCACAAGGAATCATAATGGCTGTAAAGGATCTGGAACTCAGGATACCCATTGTAGTCCGTTTGCAAGGTACCCTAATTTGCTGATGACCCTTGCCTTATTTTTTTTTTGGAGAAGTAAAACGCGTTACATGCCCATGCATCTTACTCTTGCCCTTTATTTTATTCATTACATTCTTTGAGAAGATGTTAGGTGCTGTTTTCTAAATCAGTAAAAGCACAGGGAAGGACTTGTTGTGACATTTTCTGATTACTTAGATTTTTTTGAATGCCCTTTTATCACAGGGCCTTATTGCATGACTTTATATTCTGCATTCCAGTATCGGTCTATAGGCTAGGTAGCCAAGTAATGGATACGCACAGAAGATGGGAGAGTGACAGTAATGCAGAGAGATTAATTAGAAAGGGTGTACAGTTGGAGGATAGAAAAGAAGCATCAGCTCACAGTAAGGTGGAAAGATCATTCCTGTGTGTGGAGATAAGATTGGTGAAGACACGGTGAGCCAGAGCCATTTTGTAAATCTGTAATTACAGTAAAAAAAAAAATAGGGCAACCTGTCACTGAAGTTTTTATGTACTTTTTATTGCCTTCTTGTTTACAGGGTTGTCGACTAAATTTGTAATTTGGCACAGTTTGTGTAAAATATAACCTGAAAGGTTGCTTTCCCTTTTCTGAAAATCAGAGAGGGCTTGGACTGTAAAAAAGCTGGAAATACTCAGCCATGTATAACATACAGTATTATATTCTCTCTCTTCCTTTGTCAGTTTGCTGCACCGTGTGTGTTAGGGGTAGTTATGGAATACTCTACATTGGGAATTCAATTGCCCAAATATCAGTAAAAACCTTGGCTGAGACAGTGTGGAGGCTGCCATTGCTGAAAATGCACATTCATTAGCTATCCTGATGAGCCAGCGGCTTCAATCCTTTTGGTTCGCTTTCCTCGAACAAGTCTGCAGATTACCAAGAACAAGTCTGCAGATTAGAAGCTTTGATTTCAGACTCGCTTACACGATTGCATGTATTTTTCTGGGTCAGTGTCTGAGACTGTTTTTTAAAGGCAAAGACTGCAAGGCAGCTAGTTTTTCAGTCAGTGGATGCAGCCTGCTAGTTCCTCTCATGACAGGTTTTCTTTAAAGAAGAACTCTGAGAAAAATGATTAACCCTTGCATTGGGGCTACCCCAAACTGCAGGGATTAACCCCTTCGTGACTGACGACGTACAGTGTACGTCGCCAGCATCGGGGCTGTTGACTTTTGCCGCCGGGAGTCTGTTTAAACTTGTAGAGCCGACTGTCGGCTTTACAACAGAAGCGATCCTGGCGGCTTCTGCGTGCTTCCCGGGCTCCGTTGCCCCTCCTACGGGCCCGGGACCAGCGATCTTTGTGTCCGCGGGGAGCTGGGGAGGAGGTCGACGAACTTCCGTTCATCGATCCCCTCCCCGTTCTATGGGACCGGGAGCGATGCAGATTGCATCACTTCCGGTCCCTGGGCTGTCAGTTCTGGGCTCCTGCAGCCCAGCTATAAGCTATTGAAGTGCGATCTGCACTTCAATAGCTTATTTCTAGTGTAAAGGTGACTCTGGGGGCTTTGGACCCCCAGCATCACCTTAAAGAGGACCTGTCACCACCATCTGCTATTACATGGGGGGGCTTGCAAGCCCCCCCATGTGATAGCAGTCAAAGTAAAGATTTGTTGTGTTTTGGGGCATTTAATTAAATTTGTCACTAAATTTTGGGGTTTAATAAGGAGTTGCGCTAATATTGCGCAACATAAAAATTTTCAACTACCACCATTTTATTCTATAGGGTCTTGGCATTCAGAAAATATATAATGTTGGGGGGTTTTACGTCATTTTCAGGCCTAAAATGTGGAATATAACATGGGTGCAAAAAATGAAAAAAGGGCCTCAGTCATGAAGGGGTTAAGTGCTCCTTGGTGTCTAGGGAGGAAAATAAAAAGTTTTACTCACCTGATCTTCTGAGCCCGCTTGCTCTTAGACCAGTCCCTGGAGACTCTCTCCCCCTCCGCTGCAGCAGTCTAAGGTCCCGTAAATAATCACGTTCTAAACACAGTGTATAGAATGTGTGGGCGTCGAGGTACATTTCCTTGCTTCAGGGTAGGAGGAGAGAGGCTGTAGAGTGCTGTCACAGCTGGTCGGTCTGAGGATCAGGTGAGTATAACTTTTATTTTCATCCTTAGACCACAACAAGCAGTTAACCCTTGCAGTGCGGGGATAGCCACACTGCACGGGTTAATCATAATCCTCCCTGAAGTTCTGCTTTAAGCCCATAGCGATTAATACTTTTCATGGAATATAAAATTTATAGTGACAAATCTTGCTTGCCAGGGGTAGGGTGAACACACACACACACATCTGTGCTCACGGTTACTTTACCATTTTCTTTTAGGTACAAGGGTCGATGATGCTAAAGCACTTATAACAGCCAGTGGGCTGAAAATTCTTGCATGTGATGATCTGGATGAAGCTGCAAAAATGGTAAGTTTTGTTTTCTGCAATGGCTGGTTAATATTTTTTTTTCTTTTTTAATAAATACTTAGTCATACCCGTTCTCTGGTGGTCAGAGATGAACATATGTTGCAATAATGCTGAATGCTAACCAGATATATTTCTCTTCCGTTCATTGAAGGACACAGGGAACAGATCGGAGATCGTGTAGGGTAATATCGCCACCTGCAGGAGAAGGACGCTAGGCACAAAACTAAAGACCAATTACAGCCTAGGGGCGGCCACTGCTGGTGGCCAAAACCCCCACCTGCTGACAAGTCTCCGCTTTGGTTCGCACCTTCGTACGGGGGTTACGCAGATTGCTCCTCCTGGTCGATCCCCATTACCGCCTTGGGATCTGAACCTGGTTCTCTCGTTTTTGCGGGTATCTCCTAATTGGACCTTTTGCGGGAACTTCCGCTTCTGCCCTTGTCTCAAAGGGTGGCCTTTTTGGTTGCGATCACTTCCGTTCGCAGGGTTTCGGAGATGGCGACTCTGTTTTGCACTTTGCCGTTGCTGGTCTTGCATCGGGACAAGGTGATCCTACAACCTCGACCGTCCTTCCTGCCAGGGGGTTTCCGGTCCTCCATCTCAATGTGGACATTGTTTTTACCTTCCTGGTGTCCGAAGCCCGTTCATAGGATGGATAGATGTGGTTCGCGCTCTCCGGGTTTAATTGGGTGCTACAGCTCCCTTCCGCGAGTCGGATTCCTTAATGTTGTTGCGGATGGTCCTCGGAGTGTCGGGTCGCTTCCTCGGCCGCCATCTCTCGCTGGATTCGCAACACGTTTTCTCAGGCGTGTGCCATTAAGGGGCGTTAGCCTTTTTCTGTTAAGGCCCATTCTGCAAGGGCTGTTGAGGCATCTTGGGCCTTCCGTCCTGGTGCCTCGGTTTCCCTGGTTTGTAAGGCCGCTACTTGGTCTTCTGTTCACACCTTTGCCAAGTTTTATAAGGTGGATGATTTGGCATCGGCGGATGCTGGTTTGGGGCGCATGTTATTGCAGGCGGCCGTTTGAGGGGATTGTTTTCTTTGGGTTTATTTGGGTCTTTTCTGCCCACCCCTCTTCAGGTACTGCTTTGTGACGTCCCTACACTACATGATCTCCGATCTGTTCCCTGTGTCCTTCAATGAACGGAAGAGAAAATAGGATTTTTGTACTCACCGTAAAATCCTTTTCTCTCCGTTCATTGAAGGACACAGGTCCCGCCCCTCTGTGTGGGTGTGTACTCCTAACTGCTTGTTACTTACTGGAGACTTGTCAGCAGGTGGGGGTTTTGGCCACCAGCAGGGGCCGCCCCTAGGCTGTAATTGGTCTTTAGTTTTGTGCCTAGCGTCCTTCTCCTGCAGGTGGCGATATTACCCTACACTACATGATCTCCGATCTGTTCCCTGTGTCCTTCAATGAACGGAGAGAAAAGGATTTTACGGTGAGTACAAAAATCCTATTTTTTCCTATATTGAGCCCAAATAAACAGATGCAGGATTAAATGCAAACCTAATTGGGTGAATACTGCGTTATTCAGGCTGGCACAGCACCTATTTTTTTGCTAGATGTTCAAGGTTTCTATTGAGTTGCTGTTTAAGGCCGGTTTTTTTACCTTGCAGTTTTTTAAGTTTACTGCCTTCCCATTTAAAATTCCTTACTTTCAGGCTATTTGCAAGTTCTCCCAAACAAATAATTTTTATTCTGCGGTACATTTTAATCGCCAACCTACCCAACCTTACCGATCTCTTCAGTTTACAGTTAATAAGCCAGTCGTGTTCATTAGGCATGCTTTATCTTAGTGCATTGAGACAGAATACATTTCAGACTCTTTGTTTTCAACTCCCACTCTTATTTTATGCAAGTGGTCAAAGCAGCTCATTAAATGATCAAGCCAAGTACAAGGTAATAATGAAATGGTAATCACATGAAATACTGTTATTTGATATGATGAGATAGCTAACTGTACAGAAAATGTGGAATTCACTGAAGAAGTAGGGTTACAAATTGTGTGTCTGTATCTTGAAATGTTCTATATAGATATGCTAGAATGGTGGACATTTAAAAAGCTGCATGGTTGCTCTTGTTAGAACTGTACACTGTAATCAATGGTGTTTGCAACAACTGTAGGTACTAGTGAAGGCATTATGCAGAATGGATTGTAATCTCCTGTGGGAACTTTCATTTGCACACTATAGTAAACCTTATCTAATAAATGCAGCAACATGTTGAATTCAAGTGGATCGTAATATACACGTTCAGAGCAGCCATCAGAAATTTCGGGGCCCCTTACACGGCTTTAGGCTAGGGCCTCCCCGCACCGCGCAATATAGTAAAATTATACAGCAATGAATGCAGAATGGCACTGGCTACAGAGGACTACAAATCCCAGCAATAGTACATTATAGTGTCATGTTGTGCTATAGCTGGCATTTGTTGTATTCCTCTATAGCTGCTGGTATTCTGCATTTCGCCGTATAATCATTATACAATGCACTGCAGAACACCATCAGCTATAGAGGACTACAAATCCCAGTAATAACACATTATATACAGTACAATGCAGAATGGCACCGGCTATAGAAGAAGACAGCAAATCCCAGCAATACAATATACATACAGTGTACAATGTATTGCTGGGATATGTGGTCCTCTATAGCTGATGGTACATATACAGCGCAATATACCATCAGCTATAGAGGAATACAACAAATCCCAGCAATACATTTTTACAGCATGTGGGGGGGGGTGCAGGTACTCTTACCTGCACACTCTTTAGGCAACTTTCTTCCCAGATCTTGGGACTGTCAGCAGCTGCCGTTCCCCCACACTGCGGTCTCCCTGCAACGACGTGATCATCTTGGCGGGCAGCGGCGGGAGAGAGCTCAGAGCTGGGAGAGGCGGGGAGCAGGTGCGGCGTAAAGCGTGCGGTGCGTGTGGAGCCGCAAAACAGGGGCAACTAATCGAAAGCTAACTAATCGATGATGGAAAATGTTGACAACATTTTCCATCATCGATTTTGCAGCACCGACAGTTGTTGCAGCCCCGGTCCCATCAGTCTCTGTACAGAGGAGCTTACACTATAATGCCCCCCCGTCACATCAGTCTCTGTACATAGCAGCTTACACTCTAATGTCCCCCCCCCCACAGTTACATTACCTGCTGGACGCAGGGTTTCGTGACCCACTGGACACTAGACATGTGCACCGGCAAAAAAATTGTTTAGTTTCATGTTGTTTTGATTCGGATTTTGCGTTATTTCGGGATTCGGACTAAATTCGTTAGCGGTATTCGCTAGGAATGTTAATTTCCGTTTCATGTTCGTATAGTTCATTTCATTGCAGCAAAGTGACATTAACATTTTTTTTTTAAATTGTCACTTTGCTGCAATGAAAATTCGTCCACAAACGAAAATGCGTACTGACGACCGCTAACGAAATTTCGTCCGGAAAACTAATTTTTCCAAAACTAATCGCACATGTCTACTGGACGCAGGGCTTATGGTTAGTTCACACCATAAGCAGTGTGCTCCGGTCCGATTATGGCCAGAACGCACTGCCCGCATTGCGGCTGGCTCACTTTTTTGCCAGGCTGGAGGGAGAGTGGCGGGCCATTGAAGTGAATGGCACCGTAGCCACGCCCTCTGGCTGCAATGCGATCACCCACACGGGATCACAAGGCATATTGTACCACCAGTGCGTTCGGATGTGGTGCAATAAAAATGCTGCAAGCACTATTTTGATCGCACCGCACCCGAATGCACTGCAGGCACAATGTGCCTTGCGATCCATTGCGGACGATCGCATTGCGGCCGGAGGGAGTGGCTACAGTGCTATTTACTTCAATGGCCCACCATGCCCCCTTCATCCCGGCAAATAAGTGAGCCTGCCGCAATGCGGGCAGTGCGTTCCGGCCAGAATCGGACCGGAACGCACTGCTTATGGTGTGAACTAAACCTTAGTGACGCAATGGACTCTGGGATTAGTGACCCGCTGGAAAGGGGGCTGAGTGACGACGCGCTGGAGCAAGCCCTCTTTTTTGCGTTTGCAGTGGAACGCAACGGTGGCAAAGTCTTGCCACACATTCGATCGCACTGCGGCGGGGGTGTGGAAGCGGTGCCATTGAATTCAATGCACCGCTACACCCCTTCCAGCCGCAAAGGTGGGCCAGACCGGACCAAGTTTACTGTACGCCGTGGGGCAGACGCTGTAAGAGCCTCTGCGGTCCTCGCACTTCCCCGTTGCCCGATACTCATGTAAGGTTCCCGGGCGGGCCCCTTACATGGATATCGGCAGTCCCCCCTGACGGCGGCCCTGTACACGTTTAAAGAAAGCAAAGTGATAATACTGTAGCTGCTATACGCATATTAAAAAAAAAAAGTAAACCTACTATATTCCCCTAAATCAGGGGTAGCAAACCTCCGGCCCTCCAGCTGTGGTGGAACTACAAATCCCATGAGGCATTGCAAGATTCTCACAGCCACAGATATGACTCCTGGAGAGAGATGCATCATGGGATTCATAGTTTCACCACAGCTGGAGGGCCGGAGTTTTGCTACCCCTGCCCTAAATAGTTGCTGCTGTTGTGTATATAGTTTGGCATCTGTGCACTTACAGAGGACATGTATTCTGGAAGCTATGTTGAAAAAGGCAGACAGAGGACAAAGGACTAGTCCCCAGTATTATCTATGGGGTCTCTGCTGCTGATCATTTCTCCATTACTGGCTTTTTATGCCTCGTTCCACTCTGATTGTATGGATGTGGCCTTTTGGGTAGAGGCGTAAGGCTTTACTTTCTCATAGCTTAGCTGTCCCCCGATGACTCGTGGGGTAATATTTAAGAAGCACCTGAGGTGGATGAAGCACAGATTCACAGAATGACAGAAGCAGTGAAATCCCTGCACTTCAGGTACAGCTTCCTCTCCAGGAAACAATAGTGATATCACCAAATCTCACGAAACTATAATATAATTTTTTTTTGATCTTGGGTCCAATTACATGTCAATTGGACCCATCACTGTACCTTTTATATTGATATGTGCGTTGGGAAAAAACCTAATGGAAAAATTCTGTTATATGAAAGGGTTAAGGTTGTAAATTGGGCCATCTTAGGCTTAATGGAAGGATTACTTTTTCCTTCTAAACATAGTGCCACTGGAAACTCCTACGTGGGTCCCCCGTGGTGCAAACATGAGTGGAAACAAAAGTCCAAAAACCTTTCTCATTTCAAAGGACATTAAGACTATTGAAGTGTATTATAAAGTGATTTAAAAAGCCTTGAAGTCGTACAGAGGTCAATATATTCCCATTCCTGGCAATCCTCCTCTCAGGTGCCAGTGGTCGAACAATTCTGCTGAGCTTTATGGGGTTGTTGAATCTTTCCTGACAGTATACAGTATGTGTGTAGTTTTTACATATAGATTAAATGGAACTGGTTAGCTTTGTTTTTCTGAAGGTGTTTTTTCTGTATTTAAATATCTAATTAACATGTAGATCTGTTTTTGATTAATCAATATTCTTATGGGTTTGTCTTTTTCTGCAACTTCAGCATATGAATCTGTTAAAATCTTAGAAGAAAATTATGGTGTATGTAAACTCCCTAACAATGTACATATTTGCTCCTTTTTGGTCTGTTAAATATATATTGAAAATGTTTTGTTATATCAGTCTGATAACTGCAAATAACATTTGATCCTGCCGCAAATTCAGTGAGCTCATAACTTCCTGTAGTGAGCTGACAACTCTGTGCCTCTGCTGCACTAAACCCTCTAACCCGTTCATCTCAGTGGACTACAGAACACCCCCCCCCCCTTGTGGGATGGAGATGAGGAGAGTAGGGGTTGTTTTGCTGTTCAAATCAGGATCAAGCAGCCTAGTAGATGAATTACTGGGTGTGTTACTGACACGATTACAGGGTTAAAAATAAAGACATTAGACCCTGAAAAACGAAAATGAAAGCAGCCGCCGCATCTAAGTATTGGAAAGCTACAATATATTGCATTTTTGTGCTTGGGTTTCAATGCACTCTTCTCAGTATCTTAATGCACATGTGCATGTCAGCAATATACTGATAAGACCTATGTATTAAATCCAACACTGGGTTTTTTTTTTCTGTAGTCTCCGCAATTGTTGAATGAAAACACTTTTATTGGTATGATGCAAGGGTAGGCAAACTCCAACCCCCCAGCTGTGCTGCAGCTGCAAATCCCATGAGGCATTGCAAGACTGTGACAGCCACATACTTGACTCCCAGAGGCAGATGCATGATGGAATTTGTAGTGTCACCACAGCTGGAGGGCCACATTTTGCTACCCCTTGTATAATGTAATGGTACCCATAGACCTAAGAGGGCAGACAATTTCAAGTCGAATGTCAGAAAAATGAGTGAACTGGCATTTTTTGTCTGTTTTTTCATCAGATTAACATTATTTTTGAAAAATTTAGTTTTCCATCTTAAGATAATTAAACAGTTGTACAGAACATGCTATTTTGCCCAAATGCATTTTTTTTCCAGCTTTGATAATTATCTTTTATGGACTAACCTTATTTGAAAGATCATTTTTATGAGGAATTGGCCATATGTTAGTCGAGCCCTGTTTTGTCTGGGTAACCGAATAAGACCACACCATTGCTACATCGATCATTATTTTCAGCCATGTGAGTATAAATTATAGCTCTTATTGGCTGTCATTGTTGATAATAACAGTCAAGGTAAATAATTGTCATAGCAAGAGTAAATTGCCTGAAAGTCTGCAAAGCCTTGATAAAGAGTACCTTTGGCCACAGTAATTGAGATAGCTCTATCTTATGTTGGATGGATACGTTGCACCTGTAGTATGTCAGTGTGCCGAAAAATCCACTATTTACATAATATGAGTCTCTTTGCAACCAACATTATATAAAAATGGCTACAACCATAGAACTTGCTTGGAACTTGTGTGTATCTTGTCTCTTTTACTGTTTGATTTTATGATCAGAACTGCAGATCTCAGATGTAGCATGTAGTATATCTAATGTATGTCATTTTGTTAATTTTTTCCCCTTCTCCTCTAGGTTGTCAAACTTTCAGAAATTGTAACCCTGGCAAAACTAGCGCAAGTGGATGTCAAATTTCAGTTGCCTATCTAATGGTGCAACAGCAATTTACATAGTTGGAAATGTTGTGTTTATTTTCTTTTCTCTCGTCTAGGTTTAATTAAATGCTTGAATCTACTTTGAAAGTGGTTTGTATTTAAACTGAGTTGCTGCTTTGGAAATCATTGTCACGTCTGGTATATGTAGGCAGTATTTTTCATTATAGCCCACTGTCCACTTAAAACAAGTTTAAGAAACCTATAGCTAGCATCCACATTGCTCCTTTCCAAACCAGTGTTTGGTTATTGTTCACAAGGTGGTCCTCTCAAACAATAGGTCGGAATTCATGTACAATATATTTTGCATTTCTAACACTCTGTTATATACATGTATTTGCCATTTTTTTTGTCTGAAATGTTTAGACTTTTTTTTTAAACTATGGCAAAGGTAAGATGAGCATGGTGCAAGTAGCAGTACGTTGAACTAGAAATTCTAATCTGCACTACAAAAATGTCACCTGGAACCCGGTTGCTGTGGGCAACACCACCTCTACTCTAAATGTGATTGGGTGTTGTAGGCAACAATCCCATTGGTCTTTGCTTTAGATTTACCCCATTGTGCTGTCAGATAGAACACAGTGTTTTCTGAATTAAAATGTTATTTTTCTTAGTAGTTACTCAGCGAGGAACAACTTTAGTTCTGCTGTAGGTTTGCTTGAAGCACTTGCTCTCTGTAGTGATAATGTACATATTAAACTCTTTATGATCCAATGCTTGTTCATTACTTCCACTTTATGTGCATTACCTGTGTCTACCAAAATGGCCAGTTAACATATGTACAAATTTGCAAATAAAGCCAAAGTCAAGATTCCATCGATGCACAATCTCAGCCTTGTAAATAGTTTTTCTTAACAGTAAAACAATGTAAAAACAATCCTAATTCTAGACTGTGAAGTAAATCCATGTGTAGAATACATTTGCTTGTCTAAGTCATTACATGGTTCCTAAGAGTGTGTATGTGTATAGATACAGTCATGGGCAAAAATATTGGCACCCCTGCATTTCTGCCAGATATTGTACCACTTTGCGCAGAAAATTGTTGCAATTACAAATGTGTATGCATTCTCAAGTTTATTTCTTTTGTTTTGTATTGGTATGACACAAAGAAGTGGAGGGGGAAAAAAGCCAAATCTGACACATTCCATGCAAAACTCAACTGGACAAAATTTTTGGCCCCCTCAATTAATATTTGGTAGCACAGCCCATGGAAAAAATAACCTGAAATCAATCGCTTCCTGTAACCATCAATGAGTTTCTTACACCTCTGCTACAGGAATTTTGAACGATTTCTTCTTTCGCCAACTGCTCCAGGTCTCTCAGATTGGAAGGGTTCCTTTTCCCAACTGCTGTTTTGAGATGTCTCCACAGGTGCTCTATGGGATTCAGATCTGGACCCATTGCTGGGAAGTCCAGTACTCTCCAGTGATTTGTCTGAAACAATTTCTGGATGCTTTTTGACGTGTGCTTTGGGTGATTGTCCTGCTGTAAGACCCATAACCTCTGACGGAGACACACCTTTCTGACACTGGGCCCTACATTGCACCGCAGAATTCTTTTGGTAGTCTTCAGAGTTCATAATTCCATGCACACAGTCAAGACATCCGGTGCGTGAAGCAGTGCGTGAAGCAGCGAAGCAAACCCAAAACATCAGTGAATCTCCACCATGTTTGACTATAGGGACTGTATTTTTTCTTTAAAGGCCTCATTTCTTTTCCTGAAAACAGTAGAATGATGGGCTTTCCCAAAAAGCTTTAATTTAGTTTAGTCTGTACACAGGACATTCTCCCAAAAGGATTTTGGCTTCCTCAGGTAAGTTTCGGCAAACCCCAATCTGGCTTTTTACGTTTCTGTGTCAGCTGTGGGGTCCTCGTGGGTCTCCTACCATACCGTCCCTTCTTTGATAAATTGTTCTTAGCTACATTGCCATGGGCTGTAAACTTCTTGACAATGTTGCACACAGTGGACACGGGAACATTAAGATTTCTGGAGATGGACTTGTAACCTTGAGATTGTCCATGGTTTTTGACAAAAACTTGGAATGCAACTATTTCTTGCAATTTGGAGAAGGTGCCAATAATTGTGTCCAGTCCATTTCTGGAGTGTTGTGTGGAATGTGACAGATTTGGCTTTTTTTCTCTCCACTTTTTGTGTCATACCAATACAAGCAAAAGAAATACACATGAGAATGCCTAAACATTTGTAATTGCAACAATTTTCTGCGCGAAGTGGTGCATTATCTGACAAATGCAGAGTGCCAATATTTTTGGTGACGATATTGTGTGTGTGTGTGTGTGTGTGTGTGTGTGTGTGTGTGTGTATATATATATATGATATAAGAGGGAGAGAGAGATCATTTCACAGGAACCTAAACTTTACCTGCTAATTACATGCATGTCTCATTATTGTGGCAATAGTTGTCCTGGGTGCCACACATTCCCTCAGTCTTGCGTAAAATTCATTTACAATGCCAGTAAGTTAGATATAATAGTATAATTTTAATTGGGACAGAATGGAATATACACACTTTTTCAGTTGACATCAGAACAGGAGGTGAGGGGGAATTTTACCAATGACAGCTGTCTAAGGGGATTTCCTTTCCATTCCTATGGTGTCTCTGGGATGGTAACTGAAAATTAATCATCCCAATAAAATTCAGATGGCAAGAAGAACAACAGAGGTTTCTTACCATCCTCTTTTCTATCCTAAACTGAAAATAACAGTTGCTTTACATTTACTAACCAAATATGCAAATGAATTTAGTATAAGTTGGCCAAAGCTTGCATTTTGCTCTAGTGAGAACATGCTTCTTCCGAAGTTGACCTGCTTCTCACACTGTTGTCAAGGGGTATATGACAGGAGCGTTTCTTTTTTGCTGCTAGCTTTGCCTCAGCTGGCAAGTGGCTTGAAGCACTGCAGGGCAGCAGAGACAGTGAATGAAAAACAATTTATTAAGGGCTGCGAAAGTTCTGACAACTGCACCATGGAAATGGTTGTCAAGGAAGATTTATACTGCTTTCAAGATGGCAATGCCATCTTCCCTCCCAGGTGGAGACACTCGCAACAGTCTTCTACCTGTTTTCTAATTTAGTTGTACAATATACAGTAAGCAGCTTTTAGACTGAAGTAAACTACTGACAGGCTTTCTGTAATTCAGGGAAGTGACACAGGACAGGTGACAAAAGACCTGGGACTGAATTTATCAAAACTGGAGCAGGCAGAACCTGCTCCAGTTTTTATACATTCTCCACCATGTATTTGTTTTGTTTTTTTTAGGATTTACCAAATTATTTGTTTTCCTGTAATAGGTGAGTTTTTAAATCCTCTGACTACACTTTACAACTTGGGTCACTGTTGGTATCTTTAGAAGTATTTAGTAATTTTGCTGATTTGTCCTCCTACATGTGCCCAAACCTTTGCAATGCACAACAGTCTCGGAGCAAATATATTGTACATTATGAGCTGCAGTATGCACAATTTTTCACTGTACACAAAAGATGCAAAGGAATGGTCTTGACTTGCATACTGCAGTAGTTATCTTGTGCAACCTAAAATTTCAGACCTGATTATAATATGCGTTTTCATCAAATCCATGGGTTCATTTGAACGTATAGTGCAGTCGGGGCTGGATTTCTCACAAGGCCAACCGAGGCCCGGCCTTGGGGCAGCAGGGAGTAGAGGTGCAGCAGGGGTGGGGAATTCCTATCTCCCGACGCCCAGGACATGCAGTTCTGGGCGGGTAGTTTTCTACATTTAGCCCTGCTTTGGGAAAGCGGGGCTAAATGTACAGCACGAAAGCAGCCGCTTGTTTTCTACAAGTGATCTCGGCAATGTCGCGGAGATCACCTGTATGCGGCCTGCATAAAGGGGGGTGCATTGAGGAAACTGGCATTGGGGCAGCAGATAGTAAATCTGGCCCCGAGTGCAATATCCCTATTCCAGTTGTCTTAACTGTATTTTTTAATTCACATTTTTGCCCTTTTTAGTTAAAAATAAAAATTAACTGTTCAGAGAGGTCTCTGACCTGTAACCAATTCCTAACTCTTGCGTTGGATTTATTACTTTATTGTAACCTTCACCTAAAGTCTTAACACGTACCCTAACCCTTTACATTTACTCTTAGCTGTCAACCTTGCTGTTAAGTTACCACTCTTTAACCTAATCTTAAAACTTATCTCTATCATCTAGCTTAAAGCGGAACTTCAATGGGCTTATTCAAATTGCCCTTTTGGTAGACCCCTCCCCCATAGCAAGATTCTAATGCTTGTTTAGAATCTTATTATGGGGAGGGCCCATTTATGGCTGGCCCTCTCTACCACTATTGTCCTGGAATTGGGAGAAGGCCATCTATGTTCTTGCATGTAATGCAGAATGGCTTGTCTGTAGTCCTAACACACAGTCGGTGTTAAGTTGTCAACCTAGGACAAGAATATATGTTGATGGTAGGATCACCAGAGGAAAATCAATGAGAAATGTCCCCATAAAGAAAATTAATACATCCACCACAGTTCAGGACTGGTAAGCTGCAATGTATTTACATTTTAAGCTAAAACTGAGTCAGTGTGCTGTGGGGGGTTAACACTGATAATGAAGGTTATTCCCACATTCCTTTCATCATACAGAGCTATCTACTCTTCTGACAGCAATAGGGTTTTAACCAATATTGAAGTCCTGGCTGTATTAAAGGTTACAAGTTTAATTTGAGTTTTAAACGCATTTAGCATGTATGTGTAATGTAATCTTTAGCAATTGCCTGGCAACAGCTATGAGCAGTTCAGAATGAAGCCCAAAGCTCATTAATTCTGCAAGGTCCACAAAATGGATGCTTGTAGGTCCCGTTTGTCAAAATTATTATATTAATGCAGACACTTGTAGGTCTCTATTCAGGAACATATTTGTATTGCATTTCTTGAAGGAATAATGTCAAGGAGAAAAATGTGTTTTCTAGAATTCCAATATATCCTGAATTTGCTGCACATTTATCTGAAGGCATACTGTGAAGGTTCCCCATTGCTTACAGCAGTACAGTGTAGTGTGCAAATTTGCCTGAACATCTTATTCACAAGGTAGTGGGACAACAAGTACAAAGCTGTCTGATTAAAAGGTAGATGAGAATGCAACTGTTTTTAAGGAATCTTTCTAGTTACTGGGGAACAATGTTGGTGGGGCAAGTTGTCCCATGATTATTAAACAGAACATATAATGGTTTTCTATACACAAATATATACTTGTTGTGTCTTGGGCTAAAAAAAAAGAAACCTTTTTTTTCTGTCTGCCATGTAACTGTGTCATATACAAAGTGCATTTGACTGTGGAAAGACAAAGTCCATTTTCACCTTTGCCGCCAATTTGCAAGAAAACCCACTTTATATTTATTACATGTTCCCATTCACATAGCATAGCAAAGAAAAAAAAAAGCTGCCTACATTTTAAGCGATTTTTACTTGCTTGAGAAATCCTACCGAGTACCCTTATTTGCATAACCTATACCCTTAGAATGTAATTCCTTACTGCCTCTCTCGGTTGGATCTGGATCTCTCTTTTTCTCTCTTGGCTCCTGCTACTCCCTTTATCCCCCCTGGAATGTGGGCTTGGTTTGGCCTTCCACGTGATTATTGACGTGACCCATGACGTCAGATCTATCATTTTACCCTATACCTTTACCTCACAATCACCACCAGGGGGCACTATTGTTCTATCAAAGTTTGGAGC